GTAGCCAGCAAGGAGCCAAGGTGGCCAGTGACGTCCTTAGAGACATTGAAGTCGTAGACAACGCACGCCTGAGAAAGGACAGCGAGGCCCCCCCACTCAACTCTGCGGACACCATTGACGTCCGCCGTGATGGGCAGGAGGGGACCAGGGGTAAGCTGGCGGTTCGCCTCATGGGCCCGAAAACGGGCCGTGCGAATGTTGTCCGCCGAAAGGCGGGCCTCCTGCAGTAGAAGGACATCGGCAGAGCAGTCAAGCAAGTCCGGATGCGCCAAGAAAGAACCGACATTGTGCGAATGAAATGTGAGAGGCCCTTCGCCAGGAAAGCCAAGGGTAGCGTCAAAGCAAAACTGAGTAAAGAGGGTGGGGGCTGCCCAGCTGAGGGGCAGGAAGCAGCACCCATAGCGTAAAGAGACCAGGAGGACAGTGCGGCCCCACCGCAAGCCCCAAGTATCAACACAGCTGCGCCACAGCACAGAAAGCCAAAGGGGAGTAAGACCACACAGGGCCCCGTAACCATGGCAAGACCATGGGGCATAAGGGCACAGGAGGGGGGCTCCCCTTTGGAAGAACCAGGTGCACAGACCCCGCGGGCGAAGGGGGGGCTGTGAAGATCAGGCTAGGCGCCCAGTCGGGCGGCCTTGAAGGCAGGGGCTGGCTCAATGGAGCAGGCACGGCCGGGCTTGGAGACTGCTCCCAGGATGCGAGAGAGCTGCGCAGAGACTTGCGAGAACTGTGTCTCAACCTTATCGGCAAGGGAATCCTGCTTGGCTTCCAAGCCGCCAAGTCGCGCCTCCAGGGCATCAACACGTGCCTGGATTGGTCCCGCCAACGGGGTCTCAGCCTTCGGTGGTCCCGAGGTGGCAGCTGAGGTCTGAATGTCAGCAAGGGCAGTGCGGCTTGGGCGTTGCCGTGGCCCAGAAGGCCGGCCAGTCTTGGTACGAGAGGAGGTAGGTGGCTCCAAGGCAAGGAGTACCTCACAGGGGCGGCCCGCAGAGAGCAGGGGGAACTCCAACAAGGGAGGATCCTGACCGAAAGCAAGGACCCAGACCAAGATGCCATTCCTCCGAAAAGAACGGAGGGGTATGCAAGGGACTCCAACAGCCTTGAGGACAGCCTCAGAGATGGCCCCAGGTGTGGCCCCAAAGGGCAAGCCCTCGGCGAGGTAGTTGACTCTGGGAACAAGGGCTCGGTTGGCCTCACAGAAACGGGGGTCATCCTGCAGGAGGGCCCGACGGGCAACCGCAAGGTGAGCGTTGAGGATGCGCACCACCAGGCCACGCTTCAGAGGAGCAAGGCCAGCGAAGCCCTCAAGGGCGCGGGTGACCGCTAGTGCAGAGCGAGTACCATCGGGGGTGAGCGGCCAGAACCTGTGCACAATGGAATGATCAAGGGGGTCGCTGCCTCGTGCCAGGAAATCACGGACAAAGTGAGAGCTGGTGCCGGAGAGCCTCAAACATGCAAGGCGAAGCCGGAGTGGGACTTTCAGGGTGATCTGAAAGACTCGGCCGAGACCGTGCGGAGAGCCCTGCAGGATTCTGAGGGCGTAGCAGGACTGCAAAGCACCGTCAGGGAGGAAGCCTTCGAGTATGCCGCGAAGGTCCGACATAGAGCGCCCGACGTAAGCCGGGAAGTCAGCGGCAAGTTTCTCGAAGACCTCAACAACGAGTTCCACAAAATCATCAGTGTCGATGATGACAGCATCAGCAGTGACAGGCCGGTAGACAATACCAGGAATTAGGTGGACAAGGATGACCTGGCGCTTGTAAGTGGTCCCGGCCTGAGCATCCAGAACACTGATTTGCATGGGCCCTTCAACCGCCAGGTGGGAAGGCAGGGAAGGCAGAGTGGTTCTGGAATTGCCCGGGACGATGAGGGCAGTGGGGCCAGCAACCTGTAAGCGAAGGCTTTCAGCAAGAACACTGACAGGGCAGAAGGCCAGGCCAGACACCAGCGGTCCAAGTTGGCCTCGGGGGACCAGAGCCCCAACGAGCCCAAAGGCATGGGAAGGGGGGAGTAAAAGGTCCTCCCATTTGGCATGGGGTCGGGGTTCCTGTCGAGTGGAGAACCGCATAGGGCCAGGGAGGCCCGGGGGGATCACGAGGCCCACGGGTCGCATCGAGCCAGGGGGTCCTCAGGGACCATCTCTTCATCCTCCGAAGGTGGCTCAGAAAGCGCAGGAGAGCGTGAGCCAGCTCCGCCTCCAGGCAAGGGAAACAGGCGCAAGGCGACATGAGCGTCTTGCCAGCGGCTGACAGGGTCTGTGTCGGGGACGCCACGCCCCTGGATGTAGGGTCGCACGTGCATGAGAAGTCGGTCAGGTAGGGGGAGCGTCCAAATGACTTGCCGGAGAGTGACGTGTTGTGGGACACTCCTGGAGTGTTCCCTCCGTAGTGGGTCGTGGAAGTGGACAGTGACCTGGGGAGGGAACATTGGGACCGGGGCAGGTTGTGGTTCCGGTTCCTGTGCCGGAACAACAGTGAGGATGTGACCAGTGAGGTCATGGGCCGGCTCACGAAGATCCCACACTCTGGCAAAGGAGGAGAGAGCAACAAGGGGAAAGACCACAGGTGGCACGCGAGCAGTGAAGAGAACCAGAGCAACAGTGGCACCAACAGGATAAGTAACCTCAACCCGAAATCCGCCCGGTGAGTAGATGGCGGTGCGGGCAACGCCCAAACGGTAGGCAAAGTAGAGGAGGGGGTAAGCCTCCTCCCGGCGGACTCTGGAGGTTAGCCCTTTGTGCAACCTGTGGGTAAAGGGCGAAGTCAAGCAGGGGCCCCAGTGGGCCGATGTAGTACCAACCCCTGACAAGGGCAGCGTGGAGTTGTGGACCCCACATGCGACTCCTCCAAACCTGTAGCACGAGGTGTTCGGGCTCATGCGGCACAAGCCCAAAGAGGCTCAACATGATGGCCCAGGAAATGGCAGCTTGAGGGACCGAAATAGAGTTGCCAAGACCAGCAAACACATCCTCCAAGGGCGGAAGAAGTACCAGTGGACGAGTGGCACCCAGCCATAACGCCCACTGGGCAGGTGAGAGGAAGGCAGGCCGCTCATCAAGGTGAGTGAGCTGGGCAAACAGCCCCCGGTCGGCAAGTGTGTCCGCAGCCAACAGATGCTGTTGACTGTACCTGGCACAAAGGGTACGCAGAGGAGCATCGGGAGAAGGGATGCGACTCAGTAGGACATCACGCGAGCTCTCAAGTCCTGCCCCTGCAAGATATGCAGGATTGGTGTAGTACGGCAGGGTGGCCGCATCAAGAAGCCGAGCGTGGTCAATCTGGCTTCCTGAACCTGGAAGGACTCATGTGTCCAAGGGACCGGAGAGGGATCCTGGAAAAGTCCAACAGGCTGGGAGGGCGGCAGATCAACGTCATGACGGATCAAAACAGCAAGCCATCGGCGCCGAGTGCAGGGACCAAAAACAGCATGGTTATGGAGCATGGTGGTATGCACAGTGAATCCAGCCCATCGGATGAAGGCCAGGATGATGGGGTAGTGAGGGTGGACAGGGAGAGCATCCACACACTCCATCAACAGTGCCAAGGGAGCAGCACGCCGGGCCCACAACATGGTCTCCAGGAAGCAAACGCCTGCGGGAACCTCCAGGCCATCCCGGGAGGAGGCACGAGACCAAGGGGGACACGGGGGAGAGGCCGTGGCCACGTGGCAACCAGTCCAGGGAACGACATGGAGAAGCGACGTGTCGCCAACATCGGCCAGGACCGCCACATGCGCAGGGGTGGGGACCCAGCTAGACATCCGTTGCAACTGCACCGCCTCAATGTCCAAGGTGGCCGCCTGGGCTGAAACCACAATTGGGGAGTTGTCCACCAGGACCTCATGGGCAACCTCAAGACCAAGGGACCTGCTAATGCATTCAAGGGCCTGGCCCCAACCATGAAAAGCTCCAGCAAAGAGATGGGAGACCGAGAGCGGTTCAGCCGACAGGGGGTCCCCGATCCTCCATACGGTCGTATCCGTGCAACACGGGGGAGGGTGCCAGGTTGCAAGGTGACCCCAAAGGCACGGAAGTGCTGCTCACCCGGCTGCAACAGGGCCTGAAAGAAGCTAGGAGCCCAGAGTTCAAACGTGAAGAGGAGGCGCCGAGCACGTGGGGTAGCATGCAAATCAGGCGGCAGGCCAGGAGAGAAGAGGGAACACTCCCAGGTGGAATCACCAGTTTGGGCATCGACCCGGAACTGAAGCAAGGCCTGCCCATGCCACATGAGAGGCTCGGCACTCTGGAAGAAAGTGCCCTGCTCGATCAAGCCATCGAGGGAGCCAAGAGCACGGTCCGACAAGGAGCCCAGAGCACGCAAGACAAGGGGGTCACGCGTCAACATGGCAGGGAGCCAAAGCCACACCGCAGAAGCCCAAGCACGCACAAGAGCCAGAAAGGCAAAGGGCAGGGGCAGCGGGGTGGCGGCCACAGGAGCAAAGGCGGGGCGGCGGAGATGGGTATCCACCTTAGTAGACGCGTGACGCTCCAGGGAGGAGTCGCCACGCCCCGGGTGCCCAGAACCCTGAGGCGAAAGACCTTGGAGCCAGACGCCTTAAGGGTACCCTTTTTTCTGTAGTCTATTTTAGTAGGGGAACCCTCCCAACCAAAAAAAGGGTGAGAAAGGGCACTACTGGGGGACCTAGGATCTGTCTAAATCTCACTCTCTTCTTTGGTCCATTTGATGCGCCGCCGGCGCCTTCGAGGCGGAGTCGCAAGCCAATGGCCGGCGCCTCCTTGGTTTTCCTTTCAAACATACAGACGCACGCGCACACACACACAGGGTTCCAAACCATGAAACATACCAAACAGGGGGGGGGGTCAAACCACACAGGGTCTTCAAACACACCGAATCGGGTGCCAAACCATCACCTCGTGTGGAACTTTCAGGGGAAGCTTGCAGACCCTGGAAGCTACCAGCAAGCCCAAAACACCCAAACGGCACCACACCTGCCCGAAGCGATGCTTGTTGATCCGAAAACATCCGAAAACCACCGGCCTGCGGTGACAAAGTAGGCGACCCATACCTTGGCTTTTCAGTCAGGTGCTTGCCATCTCAGGTGAGCGGCCGCATTCCGCAAAGGTTTGGCGTAAGGTTTTCATGGGCTGTTTCATGTGGGGAGCGGTCTCAAATGGTGGATCCCTTTTTGGGTGTTTTCGAAACCAAAAGGAACCAAGCAGTTTCAGGCCCGTATCGTCGCCATTGGTCAGAAACACCCGCCTCACTGTCCTCCGATGTGTTTTTTTTTTCAGCCGATAGGTGTGACGCCCCGGGTAGATTTTGGGCTGACCTTGTCGCTTTCCAGGCGAACCCAATCTTGGACCACCTACGGGTCCTTTTCGGGGAAATCGATGGGTTTGTCCCTGGTAGATGATTTTAAACCACCAGATAAAAGCCGGGGGAACCCCTCTGATTTTTCCAGCAAAACCCTGGTAGATGATGAAACCACCAGATAAAAACCGGGGGAACCCCTCGGATTTTTCGGAGCAAAAAGGACACCTATGACTGGATGTTCGCCTCGAAGGACACCTATGACTGCAAAACCCACCCAAGAAGGACACCTCTGCTCGGACCCGTTGCGCCCCCCAAATTCGTCAAGTCGTCGCTCGGTTTCCGCCGGCCATAGGGGCGATCGATTCCACCCGAGCGATCCGCGAGGCTGACAGGTGCCAGCTGGGAGGGTCGGGAGTCCGCCATCCCGAAACGGGTGCCCTCAAACCAAGACAAGAAGGGCAGTGTCTCAAAATTGGGGATCCCAAACATATATTCATCCCAAAAAGCGGCGATTTGTTTAAGTCCAAAGACTTAGGGAGTGAGGGGCTCCCCTTCGGCTTACCCCACACGCTCCCGGCACTTCGTTGTTGCCGCCTGGCGGCCGCCAGTAGCTGCCGCCAGTGCAGCACCAGCTCACTCTGCGGGCACCAGCTGCTCGACTTCGAGGCCATGGCCAGCCGCGGCGATTTCGCGTTCGTCGCCGATTTTTGGCGAGTTCGCGCGTGGCGCGAGTCGAGCCGGAGGAGGAAAGGGGGGACATGAAAATGCTGGGCATCTTTAGTTGACGCAGTCTTGCTAGGGGTCTATGCTGGCATGAGTTTGGAGCTCATCTTTGTGAGATGGTTTCAGAGGGAATGGCCCATGGACTCGCCACCAGTCTTATCACCAGCCAAAACTTGAGACACGGAGGTGGGTGAGGTGAGGTGGATCCGCTTCCCCGGAAGGGCCGATGGTCCATGGACCCCAGAAAGACAGGGCATGTATCGGTTCAGCCCGGCAGATGAGTGGCTGAACGAACACTCTCTCGCAATTTGGATCAAACAAAAAAACTACAAAAACAAAACACAAAAAAAAACAGATAAACTACAAAAAAACGACAACACAACAACAGATACTTCCGGCAGTGATAGCGTCCCTTTAAGACCAAAGGACAAATCGAGACTCTTGAGCAAATGGAAGATGATGAAACCGTTTGATTGGTTCCGCTTTGGCGATGTCTCTCAATTTGTGAAATCAGGTCGGGTTTGGTCTGCAGAGATGATCTCTCTCGCATGGAGCCTTGGAGTGTTTGAGCCTGCGCAGCGAGTCTGGGCACGTCTCACGTCTCCCTGCTTTCGCATGCCACGAGAAGCTGCTTTTGGCGGATCACCAGCCCAACAAACTGCAACAAAACGGCTCTGGTGAGGCAGAGGGGCAAAAAGAACAAGGCTGACAATGCTGTCTGTTTTCGCCAAACAGCACTCCACTCGGCAAGCGGCTTTCCTCAAGAGCTGCATTCGCAGGAGCCCATGAACCAATCCGTCGTCAATTGTAAGATAGGAACCAGAAGCCTCCACTGTGACATGTATGCTGCCATGTACCACTCTGAGCCATACCACAAGTTGTGAGGCCGCTAACATGCCAGAACCGTGGAAACCGCACAAACAAACAAAACACACACACACACAAAAAAAAAGAGTATCCTAGCCAGAATAATTCCCATCTGGCACGTCTCATTTCCCCTTTGCGATTCGACTTCCACGTTCGGGAATGTGAGAAGGCGCTCTGCAAGGGGGCGGATTTTCAGGAAATATCCTACATCGTGTGTCTCCAGACTATGGGTCATCTTTCAAAAGTTGTAAAGGGAACCCCCCCGCCAGCACTGTTCCATACTCGCCCATCTGAGAAAACAAACAACCGACTGGGAAGAGCAGATGGTGGAAGGATGCTCTGAATACAGCGCCGGAACTCCCTGCGAAAGGGTCGATGGTTGACACGTTCAATGCTTTCCAAGCATCTTTATGTATATATATATATACACACCACTCTCACATTCCAGCCGGGTACCCCTGTCTTGACCACGTCAAGCACTTGGTGACCACCCGGCTTTGGCAAAACTTAAACATACTTTAAATCGCTTTATCATCGTGCTGTTCTTTTAAACAAACAACAGTTGATTATTTTTCAGCATTGTTCTTTTGAACAAACAGAATTTGTTTAAAACAAATCCCAACACATCCACAACCAACCAGTTTGAAGTTGATTCAACTGAAAACAAATCCCTCGAAAAGTCCCTGGTCCCCAGCCGTCGGGCTGCCTTGATGCCGGGGTTCACAAAGGGGCACGGGAAGCGGACCAGCTTGAGACACCCGTAGTCATCACCTGAGAGACACCAACTGAATTCCGATGCCTCTCTGAAACCTAGCGAATGGAATAAGCCAAATGGATGCAACCTAAAGCTCGACAAATGGGTTCCTCCCTGAAACATGATCTGCAAGGGAACTTTGCAAAGCGGTCCGTGGACACTTCATTGCGTGTGCAGGTAGAGCGGAGACCAAATGAGTCCAAGTAGAACCATTTCCACTTGGAGCAGGAAGCCCCACGTATTCACTGATCCCTGCTAGTATTCTCCGTGACTGGGTTGGTCAAACTGCCCACCTTGTAACAAAGGCTTGACTTTTGCTAGTGGGGAAACAAGCATCGCCCAAAAAGAGCCCCGGCCCTCTTGACGGGAAAGACAAAGGATATTGCTTGAGCAACAGTGGTGTTTCCTTGCTTGAGCAAGGGTGGGCCCAACCACGGTGGAAAGGGTGGTGGCAAAGGCTAAGCATGTTTGGGGACAAATAGGTGGCACTCGTACATCATTTGAAGCAAAGGGGAAAACCAGTGATTTCCATCAACTTTCAAACAAAAACGAACCTCCAAAGGACCAAGGGTGGCTTCCACGGTACCCGGGAGTGGATCAATTGTCTGTAAGGCCTTCCATTGGCACAGGACTTCCCTCAGCACGAGCCACCTCCGGGGTACTCCAAAAAGACGATGCTCGATGCTCTCATTCCGTTTCATGTTTTGTCTACCCTAAAAAATGGGTGTGGGTCCAAAAATTGGTTCCAAAAAATGGAACCCTGGTGACTGGAAACATGGACTAGACATATGCGGGCCTCTGGCGCTTAAATTTGACCCTCTGGCTCAAGGTTCAAGACCTAGCTAGGTGTACGCAGGTTTAAGTCGAGGTGTCCATTTGCCAGGGTTCCATTTTGGGCGCCCATTTTTGACCCATAGCTCTTTGAACATGCTCCGAATCACTCGAGAGCTGGACCCTTAGCCCAAGCTCCAGGCCAAAGGCCAACAAGTTCTCCGAGGGCGCCTCGAGCGCACGACGATTTGGAGCGGAGCGGTGGCGGTTTCCTGGGTGTCAACCATAGGAATCGGAGCCCCCAACACGCCTTTGGTGGTTTCCGGTGTTGGTTTCTGATTCGTCCAACCCTTAACAAACCTTTGGGTTTCTGATTCATCCAACCCATCAAATGGCGTACCCTTAAAAAACCAGAAACCCCGAGTAATGCTTGCAATGATCGTTAAAAGTCCCTAAGAGGTCCACTGGAATCCCTCCCCACCAACCCGTGACCACGGCACACATGGCCCATGATTCAAAGGTTCAAAAGGACCGAATTGACAATTCAGGACCCAACATGGCAGATGTCCACGTGGTTCCCTCTAAACAAAGGTCTCTTCAAATCTCAACACACCCACATCAACCCGTGTTTCATCCGCTCGACGAGGGGAGGTTACGTGTTGCTCGATCGGTTTGGGTCCCAAATGTGCAAGGTGTGGCTCGGCGCAACTTGCAGTGCTTGCAGATGCCGCTCCTAGGTCCTCCAGTAGAGAGGTTAGAATAAGGGTACCCTTGTTCTGTAGTCTATTTTGGTAGGGGAACACTCCCAACCAAAAAAGAAACGGTAAAAAGGCACTACTGGGGGACCTAGACTCTAGTAGGTAACCAGGCGATACCAGGTCTTGCATGCAGTTTCCCCTGGTCTACTGGTAACTGGGATCCAGTGAGACGGTGTGTGCACTTTTTTCAGGCCCAAAAAGGTCCAAGTTATTGGCCAATGGCCGCGTCCAAGTTTGCTAAGTCAACAGGTGCCCGTGACAAAAACATGGGAAGCGCACAATCAAGGGCTTTTGCCAGAGGAGGCTGCGCGGTTTGGGGATTCCCTGGATCAGATGTGGATCTGAAAGGCCGACACCCCATCCGGCATGCACTGAGGCCCAGTCCCAGGACTGACACGCCGAGTTGATGTCGCTCCTGAAGCAGACATCCCTTGTGAACACGAACCCAAGTCCGTGTGTACAAACAACAAATCAAGCAACCATGCGTTCGGAAGACAAAAGCTTTTTTTGGGGGGCCTGCGGTGTCCGCAGATTCGGAAAGAACTTGTTCCAGTGGGCGTGTGGAACCAAATGGGCTTTCACTTCATGCTCCCTTTGGACTGACCCAAGGGAGTCCGGGTGGCCTCATCGTTTTGTTGGCAAGTGCCACTTGTTTTCCCGTTCCCAACCAGCACTTCCCTTTGAATCTCAGATGATGCGGGGAGACTGGACGTCTCAACACCCTGCAGCCTGTGCCAACCATTCTCGACTCGCAGGACTCAACGCCCAGCCCCGGGCATCAGGAAAAGCGTAAGGGCTCCGGCTCCGTACCTTCTGTCCTTTCCCAGTCCACCGGTTTAGGGTCTAGGGTATAGGGTCTAGGGTTTAGGGTTTAGGGGTTCTATCCACAAAGGAATTGTATGCCTTCCACAAGGATCAAAAAACAAAATGCCCCGTCGCCCAGGTCACTTGTCGACTATCTTTCCCAGGCCCTCTTTTGCACTCGGTAAATCCATCGGCAAGTTGCGCGCAGGGGATGGACTCCGCAAAAAGCTGGGGCAGTTGTCACATCCTTCCCTCAAGGACCTTCCTGGAGCTCTTGCAACACTTTTGCGAGGTCATGATCCATTGCCCAGATGGCGCGCACTCCTCCCGGACTCCGTTTTCCATCTTCCAGTGATCCGTCTCGTCAGCCCAGGCTTCGCTGGGGGTCCCGGCGCGTCGTACTTGGGGTCACTCCAGAGGCCAATCACCGGCCAACCCACGACCTCGAGCGCTGGCGAAAACTTCAAAAGGAGCCAGAACACGTCCTGTTGCACTATGACAAAATCTGACACTTCCCGCTTTCTGAGCAAGTGAGAACCTGACATGGACACCTGCCCATTTGTATTTTGCTTCAAAGAATGCTGAACTCCACCTGAGGCTCCCGCACACGTCCAGGGCTTCTGCCACCTGGCGAAGCAAGCAACCCGTGGCCATGAACTCTGGGGACACAAAACGGGTGGACATCAGCGTCATATACATGGGTCTGTCTCTTTTTGCTAAAAGGAAAACCTCCATTCTGGTGGTCCCCATGGGAAAAAAGACGAGCCGCCCATGCGTCCACCGGGCCACATTTCGGGTTTGCCGTTCAGCAAGAAGTCATACCCAATGTGGCACAAGATGCGACAGGTGAGCTCAGTGACCGCCACAGAACTTGCGACCGATTCTATAGGCAGGGAATGAGAAATGGAACAATCCTCTAGGGGGTTTCTCTGATGGTTATGAAACTTGCTGGTGTTCAGCAGGGAATGAGGGAATGACGCCCCACAAACCGACCCTTGTGGTTTCCTTTAGGGGAATCCCGAAAACCGGTTCATTCCCAACACCCGGAAGGTGTTCCCTACTGAGCACCAGCAAGCAAAGGAAAAGGTGTGCTTTTCTTGTCGAGGCATGTCAAAACTGGACTTGTGCATTCGGGTGTCTCCAAACAGCGAGCCCCCAACAATGGCAGGTTTCCTTTTGCCCCCTCTTACAGCCATCAAGATGTGTGTGTGTGTGTGTTTGTAATTGTCAGGGTGCTCGATTCCCTTGGCTTCAAAGGCAAGCCAAAATGAAGACCAACATTTTGTGGCTTCCAAAGATTCCCTTCACTTGCAGGCAAGCCAAAACCCACCATTTTGCGGGCTTCCCTATGTTTACATCAAAAGACTGTAACCAACAGACACGAAGCCAGCGCTTGGTCGTGGCCTGGTGTCTCTGAAGACCGAGTGCGAGCTCTGCAAAGAGCCGTCCTCACGCAAGCGAGCTGACCAAAAACATGCACCCCAAGACAACCCAGTGCTTCCAGGGATCACTAGGCTGGTTTACGACATATAAAATATCTTCGTATATATATATATGCTCACCCCCCCCCCCCCCATGATCCACATTTGGCATTGCTGCAGTGTATGGTCTCAGCTTTGGCTCCTTAATTTGAATGGCTGAAGTACTCTTAGCCCGTCTCCCAATGGAGGCTGTTAAAATAATAACAGCCATGGCAACGAGCGCCACGCCGAGCCCTATCGCTCCATCCAGATGGCCTACAAAAGTAGGTTATCTACCATGTGGCTACTTGGCCGATTTCATCGAGTCGAAAACTGCAGTTTCTTATGGGGTCCTTCTGCTGTCATTTCTGCTCTTGCCCATCTAAGGATCGGAAGTGTTCAGCTTCGAAGGCTTGCACTTCAAGATCAGCGCGAGCGAGGAGACCGTCCTCCAAGAGAATGAACTTGGCTTGATTATGAGTGAGAGGCATTTGCCATAGTTTTTTATGGGACAGTCCTTAGGACTGCTTTTACTCTCTCAGTTTTCCAAGCCGCAAGGAAAAAAAGCCTGCTGACCATGTACGCCTGAGTCTGCTTGCATATCAAGCTCATTAAGTTTCCTTGTGCTATACTGCATCCATTGCAAAGCTGGGCAACTTTCTGATATTCCAACCCCATGATCCACATTTGGTATGGCTGCAGTGTGTGGTCTCAGCTCTGGCTCCTTAGTTTGACCCCGCAGTGTGTAACTAATGGCTGAAGTACTATTAGCCCAACTCCCAATGGAGGCTATTAACATACTGCTTGCATCTCAAGCTCATCAAATTTCCGTGTACTCTGCTGCAGCCATTTCAATTTGAGGTAACTTCCTGATACTCCTTTCTGCTCCAATCATGGCATCTGTGCCTCCTCATCGTGCTGAGTTCCTCCACAGCGATGGGGCCAGAGCCTACAAGCTCAGGTTGCCGGACGTGAGTCATTGCAACGTCGTGCACAAGAAGAAGCGCATCGTCATCAACGGCAAGGCAAGTAACTCTGACCTAAACTGCTTTAACTGCCTCTTAAGGGATCTACTTGATTCTGTTATTCCTGTCTGTCAGGCCGTTTGGGTGAAGCCCCACTACACCAAGCAGTACGACGTCAAGCTGCCGGACGGGAAGAAGGTGCGTGTGAAGAGCGGCACCCAGATCATCGACCGGTTCTGGAACACCCTTCGATCTCACCTGAAACACACGAATAGAATCCCCGGCAGTCAGGTTCTCTTGCGAAAGCTGAGATCCGCACAGTTTGAATACTGGCATCGCCGCGCTAATATGTGGGAGGTGACCGGCCAGATGCTGCAGGCACTGCACAAGCAGTGATTACCGGATATGCGCTCGAAGGAAAAAGGCAAGAAAAATGCAAGCCAGCTCGTCGGAGTGACAAACATCTGCTACTGCCTTCCCACATCCACAATTTTAAAAAACAGTACAGCACTTTCTGCATGCTTAAAAGTGCTGTACTGTCCCTAAAATCCAGGCCTTGGAGGCAGAAAGTGCTGTACTGTCCCTAAAAAAACCTAAAAAACAATTCCAGAAACAGTCTTGAGCACACAAACCTCCTTCTGGCAAGGATTTTTTTGGTTTTTTAGGGACAGTACAGCACTTTTTTTGGTTTTAGGGACAGTACAGCACTTTTGAGCATCAGCATGCAGAAAGTGCTGTACTGTCCCTAAAATCCAGGCTTTGGAGGCTGAAAGTGCTGTACTGTCCCTAAAAAACCTAAAAAAACATTCCAAAAACAGTCTTGGGCACACAAACCTCATTCTGGCAAGGATTTTTTTGGTTTTTCAGGGACAGTACAGCACTTTTGAGCATCAGCATGCAGAAAGTGCTGTACTGTTCCTAAAATCCAGGCAAGTGCTGTACTGTCCCTAAAAAACCCTAAAAAAACATTCCAAAAACAGTCTTGAGCACACAAACCTCCTTCTGGCAATGATTTTTTTGTTTTTTAGGGACAGTACAGCACTTTTTTTGGTTTTTTAGGGACAGTACAGCGGTTTTAAAAAACAAAAAAAAGTGCTGTGCTGTCCCTAAAAAATCAAAAATTCCTTGCCAGAAGGCGGCTTGTGTGCCCAAGACTGTTTTTGGAATGCTTTTTTAGGTTTTTTAGGGACAGTGCAGCACTTTCAGCCTCCAAAGCCTGGATTTTTGGGATGACAGTACAGCACTTTCTGCGTGCTGATGCTCAAAAGTGCTGTCCCTAAAAAACCAAAAAAGTGCTGTACTGTCCCTAAAAAACCAAAAAAAGTGCTGTACTGTCCCTAAAAAACCAAAAAAAGTGCTGCACTGTCCCTAAAAAACAAAAAATTCCTTGCCAGAAGGAGGTTTGTGTGCCCAAGACTGTTTTTGGAATGGTTTTTTAGGTTTGTTAGGGACAGTACAGCACTTTCAGCCTCCAAAGCCTGGATTTTAGGGACAGTACAGCACTTTCTGCATGCTGCTTCCATAAGTTCCATCTGCTCCCTGCTAACTTTTTTTCCAGAAGGCTGTCCACACAAACCATCTGTAAGCATCTGCTTCAAGTTGCCTAACATCTGTCCATCAAGAATGTCGCAATCTTTGACTAATCTACTCATCAAGAATGATGCTTGTTTTTGACCCAAGTTTCCAGGATCAGAATCTGATCCTGGAACAGGTGGTCAAAAACAAGCATTTTACATGTGTGTTTCCAGTGTTTTTTGCTTGCAAGAGGCAAAATGTGGATCATGGGGGGGGGGTGACCATATATATATATATATATGTATTATTATATTCTATTCTATTCTATTGTCTTCAATTCTATTATACTACACACATGCAAACACCACCAGGGGCCAGTGGTTTGGGAGTGCTGGACCAGCCCCCTGGTCCGGCCCTGCCAAGTTTGGGCCTGGTTCAAATCCTTGGGATTGTGGGCGTGCCCCGTTTTGAGGCTTCCCTCACCGGGCCGAAAAAACCCACCCGGCCCAAAAGAAGCCGGCGACAGCCGTCTCCTTGGTACTCCAATGTAGCACCTGGCAATCTTTGGAGTTGGACATCACGAAGCGCCTGGAGTCGACTCTGCTTCGAGGATCCCGAGGATCCTCTTTACCCACTGGTCACGGGTCCCAAACCCTCCGCTTTGGATCCCTTTGGACCGAGGGGTCGTGCTGTTTGGAGGATGCCCTTTGCAGAACAGGGGACTGTGGCTGTGCGTTTGTCCATGCGTTTTGACTATGACAATTGCAGTGTTCTTTGAGGGTACCCTTTTTTTGGGTTGGTTTGAAGGAAAACCCAAGGGGAGACGACTCATGTCAAGCTTTGGGGCCCCCCCTTCTTCTGACGCATACGCATCTCCACTGCCCATAACTTTACCCTAGGGGGGCTTGTTGGAACCCGGAAGTATCTTGTACAGTGAGTGTGGCATTTTAGTATCCGCAGGTCTGCAAGCGGGGTGGAGGTTCCCACAAAGGCACCTTCTTTGGCTGACAAATGTTGGTGAAACCCTCGGAAATCCACACCAAAAAGTAATTCTCCCCACGCGTGGCTTGGTACAAGTTCGGCCCTTTTCGGAGGATGTTTTTTTAACTTTGTTGGGGAGGGAGTTTCATGTTCCAAGCATTGTTGTTGGCGAGTACTATCCCCCCAAAAGCAAATTCCTCTACAAATGCTTCGCTTTCTTTCGGGGCTCCCTGTTCATCTGCAGAGTATTTAAACAACCTGCTCTTGCCCTCCCTCCAACAATCATAGAAGCTAACCGGAGGGTTTTGGACTGCGATTTTCCTCTTGGGGAACCCCTCTGTCCACTCCCATGATTGTTGGAGGGAGGGTACTCTCTCCCTTTGAAGGGGCAGGGTTGGTTTAAAGACATCTTCTGGGCTGTTCAGAATGGAGGCTTGGCCAATCCTAACCCAGAATCCCAATAGGGAAGCCACGACAAAGGGGGCCAAGTCCTTGCGTAAGCCGCGTCAGGATCTCGCGGATTATCTTTGAACAATCTTGGAAGTTGAGGAAAGCATTGGATTACAACTGTATTTCTCACCATATCTGGGCTGCCCTCAGATCCTCCACTAAAAGTTTAACTGTTAGTGGGTTAAATGGAAACTTCCACCAAAACTAAAAGGCTAAACAGCTAAGGGATCGGATGGCCTTCGGGAGCCATCAAGATATTGGATTACCTTGGGACCAAATCCTTGGTCGTCCTTACTTTGGAACAGCCCACACTTTGCCCAACCGGTCCCTCCTCACGCTTTCCGACCCCCGGAGACCAGCACCAAACTTTGGGCCCCCTGCGAATCGCCGGAGAATTGAAGCGCCGTGATGCTGGAGGAATTCCCGGAGAGGACGCGGTACAAGTAGACCTGCTGTGGGAGTCGCCGTTACATTGAAAAAACTTCCGGGGTGGATGGGCCAACAAACGTCTGAACTTCTTGTTTGCCACCAAAATGGTCTTCCTCAAAAGTTCAACAACCGTCTGAACTGTTTGTTTGCCACTACAATGGTCTTCCTAAAAGTTTAAAGTGCACAGGGAGTGAGATTCTGGGTATGACTTACAAATAACCCCGCGGACCAGGTGGAAGACTCAACCAGTTCAGCGACCTGAGACTTAGAACAAGACCCATCTGTGGAGCCCACCGGACACAAACAAACAGCCAAGGCTTTAGACGCAAAAACTCCCCGCTCTTGCCTTCCTTTGAGGCAAATTTGCCTTGGATTCCCGGCCAGAACTGGAAGTTAGGAGCCTTTCGTGGCCACAAATGAAGCTCATAGGATGGGACACCCAGATCCATTGACCTGCAGAGGAAATCAAGGGAACCACCTGTGTGGCACTGACTGGTTCCCTATACTGGCGACTGGGATCCACTAGGACACTTCAAAGAGGGGCATTTGGGTGTGGAATTCTCAAAATTAAACAGGAGGGCAAGCCGCAGGTTTTGGGAACCATGTGTCCACTTACCGATCGGGCAACCCGTTTTGGAATTCCGGTTTTTTGAATTCGCCACAGCCATTTGGAACTGGTTGAGACAAATCCTGGGCGCATGTCACCGAAACGGGTTAAAACGCCCAACGACTGGCCGTTGCGGCGACTCTTGGCCAGGAACCTCATGAAAAGACCAAGGGGTCGTGGAGATTGACACTCTGGGAGAGGACTCTCCGCATAGGTGGCCTTTTGGAAAAATAGATGACCCTGCTAAATGAAACAAAACCCATCTAAACCAGTGCCATCTATTTTTAACCATGCTCACCTAAAAAGGACACCTATGACTCTCCGTTGTGTTCAACCCATCGTTCTTTTCACACACCAGCCGTTTGCCAAGTCGTTGGGCGGTTTTCTGCCAAGAAGGTTCCCTGAGATTGGACACCCTAAAAATGCAAACCATTCTCTAAGAACATTGCCATGCTGAGTCGCGCTTCAATGACCTCTTAACGTCTTGCTCTGCGGCTGACCTCTGGATAGCGTTGCCACTTGCCTTCGGTAGGGACTGGCCAAACCCTTTTAAGACCAGCTTAAACTGTTTTCATTTTCCTCTTTGCGCTTTCAAAGCAGTGGGCTCAACCAACTTGGTCCAACCCCGACAAACCCGAAAAGAGCTATCAACACGATGATTAGTTCTGTGTTGTTCTGGCTTAATTGAGGCTATGTTCGTTCAGGCACCACAAAAGGCAGACGAGTCATTCCTCTAGTTTCTCTAGTTTCTCGCACGTGCAGAAGAAGCCGCGGCCTTTGCTTCCGCATCTACGCGCAGGAGGTAGACCTGGCAGAATGGATATCTCCACTAGAAATGGCGTTTGGTGGGAAAAGCAGACATGGCGAAGCGGGACAAGCCACGCCGATCTTCCCATCATGCCATCCGAATCCGTTGTGCCAATCCCCGGTTGGAAAAACCCAAGGAGTAGGGATTGCACACCGGCGATTTTCTGAGACAAACTTTCGGCATGTCAGACGTCAAGTCCACTGCCGCATTCTAGGCAAAGAACCCATGTCCGGCAAGGAGAAGCACCCCCCCCAAAATAATAATAATAATAATAATAATAATAATAATAATAATAATAATATTCTGTTTGTAGGTCAGGTGATCAGCGGGCCAGGCACAGCACCCAATTGGCGCCGTCAATAGTCTGCATGCTTATTTACTAGCTCAGCTTTTGTTGCCCCAACCAAACAAGCATGATTGAGTCTGATCCATATTTAGTGAACCTGAAACATAGCATCCTTTCAACACACATTCCAGTTCAGATCCACATGACACGCCATCCATTGTGAACCGGCCAAAAGCAAGCCGCTCCGTGGATGTTCCTAAGGTTCTGTTACGACTCCATTTGGGTCTGTCTGATTTTTGGGAAACCGAAGCCCCTTGGTTGGTCTTAAGCGGAAAGTAAAAGGAACACCGAAACCAGGGTCTGTCTGATTTTGGGAACCCCCCTTGGTTTAAACCCCCCTGATTTTTGGGAAACCCACCCCTTAAGCGGAAAGTAAAAGGAACGCCGAAGCCATGTTGGGGCACCGTGTCTTTCTACGGGTGGGACTCCTTCACTCGGCGGTCCCCAAAACCTCGGAGCCCACAAGCTGCGTGCATCGATGAAGAACGCAACGGAAAAGAGTGAAACACCAAGTAGAAAGCAAGGCATCAAGTCGAAGAACCACTTTACTAAACAAATGGAAAGTGGGACACCTGAAAAACAAATGGAACAAACACGACACCAACAGGAAGAAACAGACAACCAACAGGAGCACATTTGGGATTTGTTTGCCACCTACTCTCCCACTGACAAACATGGAAGTGCACAGACTGTAGAAAGACTACTTTCCTCTTGGAAAGGGGTGAAATGTGCACAGACCCATGTTAGTTGGTGGTAGGGGTAATTGAACAGGAGACCAGTAGAACAACACACTGGAAACAAAAGACAACCAACTGGAACACATTTGGGATTTCTTTACCACATTTTGCCACCTAACTTCATGGAATCTCTGGGGGGGCTATGGGGGGGGCTATCCCTGGATAAGCCCAGGATAACCCAAGGACAAGCCCTTAATAAGGCCTTAAGGGCTCAATAAGGGATAGCCCCCCCTCCCCATAGCCCCCCTTGAAAGTCCATGACAACTACAATCAAACCAAACAAAAAACAACTGGAACACATTTGGGATTTCTTTGCCACATTTTGCCACCTACTTGCAATCAAACAAAAACACGGTGCCCAAGAACCGCGGGCCTCTTGGTCCCAGCAGCCCGCCGCCAAGAACTGCCCGTCCTCGCTGAAGCGCAAGGAGCTGATGCGCCTCGCCCGAAGCGAATTCCCCCCGGTTTTACCCGTCGGACCTTTGGTGCCAACAACATGGGGAAACACGTCTGTAGGTGTATATATACATATATACACATACACAGATAAACATATACCTAAAGATTGATGGACAGGGCGTTGGTCGTTGGGTCTAGCAACATTGTTACAAGGAATAAACCCCATCAATAAACAAAGTAGACTCACCTGCTAACACGGCCAATAAAGGGTTTTTGAAAGGGCCTGTGGCGGGCTGACAAGAAGCTCCAGAGGTTTGTCTCATAGTGTGCTGCTTGTTCGTCTTGGTGTTTGTTGTTGATTTGAAGGAATCCAAACATTACACAAAAAAACATGCAGACATGCGCACAAGAACACTGGCCGATTGTGTCAAGCCTGCAATGACAAGCCTTGGCTATCAATCTAACACGGTCGACTTCGATTGTACCACAATCGCATCATGGTGGTGGCTTTTAGCATATGGGGGGTTCATCGGAGTGTCCTTTACATTGGGATGACAATTGGTTGGAAACCACTAGACATGAATTGTCCCACATCGGAGAAGGAAAAACAAAACTATCGATGGTTATTTGAGGGCCGGAGGAAATATGTTTCTCACCCCCAAATCTCAGTTCTATAAAGAAACACTCAAAGTCGTTGTGAATCACCCGGGCTCCCGGCTCTGAGGCGCGGGACAACCTGCGGTTGTACGCTCAGCTTTGAGATGATCCATTTGGAGATGAGGGACCCCCCCAAAAATCTCAGATGCCCAGTGGATTTCCATGGGAAACATGGCATCCCTTTTGGGTTGGTTCCGCATTGCCCAAGATCCCACCCTCCGTTTGGAGCGACGGTGTTTTGTTTTTTGGTTGATGTTTTTCCTGGTTGAATTTAAACAACCGCGACTTTCGTGGTTTTTGGAATCCTTCCTGAAAACAGCAAGTTTGGATAAACTGCCCAGGTCGCCGTTGTAACTCGCCCAAACAAATGCTAGACGCCGCGTGATCAATGCATGGCAACAAAGGAATTCGGCCCCGCGAGTTTTCAGCTGGCCGCTTGGCTTGCTTCACCTGGCGCCTCACTTGCCTCTCAGTTCCCTTGGTCAAGTTTCCGGCTGACTCTTGGCCTGGAAATTCAGGACGAAGAAATGTCGGACGTCAGAATCGACCATCCCCGCAAGCCGAGCCTCTGCCAAGTTTCAACCCACAGAACTGAACCCGATCCAAACAACCACAAGAAACCTGGCCAATGTCTCAAAACCTGAGCTCAATCTCCAAACCGTAGCCAGGTCACATGGCCCTTCCGAGTTCCTT